CTGGGGTTTCGCCCAGGCGTTTACGACGGGTACGGGCGCGGGAATGAATCTGATGGGCGCGGGTTTGGGCAACGTCGATTTCGCGGGAGATTTCCTCGCGGGAGTTTTCGGGGCCTTAGCGCAGCCTCTGTAGCTAGCCGGGTGGCCGGTGGCGTTACAGTTTACGCAGTCCGGTGGATCTGCGCAATCTTTCGGCCTCGTGCACTCGGTTGTGCCGTGGTCACCGGTGCATTTGATGCACCTTGGGTGAGCGAAGCAGTTATTGGCCGTGTGGCCAAAATGTTGACAGTTGTGGCACTGTGCCACAACACCTGATTTACGTGGGGGCTCGATGACTAAGTCACTGAGCCCACAGACCCTCTTAAGGTTGAAAATGGCCTTACCTTCCGGGGTAGGGTCAAGTTCCACCATGACCATGTCCATAGGGACACGGGTGCGAGGGTGCCTGAGACGACGCACGGCGTGGACAGGGTATCCCTGAGTGCGGATGTCGACCTTAGCCATATCGACATCCGACTCTTTTGGGACGCCCTTAATTACGACCCGAAGTTTGCGCTCTTCGGGTAGTGAGTAGGTGTGGAAACCTACCTTAGCTTCGCGCAAGTATTTAGTTACGCGACGGAAGTCGTCCGAAGAATCGAGGTATACGCGGATACCCATATGCGTATTCTTCGACCGGGGGTCTCGGATGTTGTGGCGTTCAAACCACGAACAAACCTGGTGCCACTTTGCCTTATCTTGTATTAATATTGGCGGCGGTGGCTTGATTTTTCGCTCGGAGGCGAATGTCGGTTCCGACTGGGCAGACGCGGCTGCCTTTTTGGCGGGCGTCGCGGTGGGACGGTTTGACGGGGCGGCCTCGCTTTCGGGGTCGCTGTCGGTAGCGGGGCGTTTCTTACCCTTTTTTCGTGATTTGACGACGGTGAAGCCGTCGGCGTTCGCGTTGTTAGCGGGGGTCGTTTCGACCTCCATGTCTGAGCCGCCGTCCGATTGTGAGTCGGGAACGACAGCGCGGAAGGGGGCCGAAATTGATTGCGCGGAAGGCGCGTTAGGTTTGATCGCGGCGGCGGAGGTCGACGCGACGGGCGTTTCGGTTGTCGCAGAGGGCGACACAATAACTGGCGCAGAGGGCACCGGAGATGGCGGCGAGGTGACTGCCGGTGAAGCCGGACCGTCACTTGCGAATTCGACGGCTAGGCGCCGTTCCCTCTTGAAATTGAGGAATTTTGCCCATATTTCGGGGCATTCCTCCCGCAGGAACTCCTCTAAGAGGGAACCCATGACGACGCTTGTGCCTTTGGGGCTTGCGCCCCGCCGGCGTGTGGTTTTCTAAATAGGCCTCCCCACCTTGCGGCAGGGAGGTGTGTGCCTAAAAATTAACCTTTAATCGCCTGCGCTTTAGGTGCGCTAGGGTGAGTACCTAGCTGTCGCCTAATGCAACAAGCACACAGATAAAAATTACAATGCCGCCTCTGAGACGAGAAATGTGTGTAGATTCTACTTACGGACAGGAACCTGCCTACGAGCACAACACTACACTATCACTATCCGCTCGGAAGTCGGGCAAAGTTTCTTCTTTCTTCTGTAACGTTTCTTCTTTCTTCTATAATTTTTCTTCACTCTTCTTGCTTGAGACTTCCCTAACCGTAGACCGCGAAACACGACAACGATGAGGCAAGCAGTGCACACCGAGAGATAAAAGAAATGATATTAGCAACAACGGTTGCAAGATGGCTTCCGGGTCGGTTGGCATGGGCCCTCCGGCTCAGATTAACGTCCGTTCCGTGTGGAAGCATGAAGCGGAAATGTGATGTCATTTAAGACAATGGAAAAATGTTCAAGTTTTGTTGTTGTAATATTTCTATAATTATATCTTCTTCTTCTTCTATAATCTTAACAGTTTACATTTTTGGGGTTCCGTACCCAAAGGGTAAAATCCTATTACTAAGACTGTGCTGTCTGTCTGTTATCAGGATGTATCTCATGAACCGTGATAGTTAGATAGTTGAAATTTTCTCAGGTGATATATTTACTAAACAGAAAAAAAAATATTTATTGGCATCCCATACAATAAACACGTGGCATTTGCTAGGCAACCTATAGGTACTTACGAATTAGTTTATTATAGATAATGGTAAGAACCCTTCGTGCGCGAGTCCAACTCGCACTTGGCCGGTTTTTCTTTTAACTGTTGATTAATACTCTGAACTACAGTTGTTATTATTAAGACTTGTAGAAAATTTAAAATTGTTGTTATTGTTATTTAACATCAATTCACTGTTTGACACGGGGCTGATGTTCTGAAGAACATCCACATAATTATCAATTGACCAAAAAGTTCCAATGGATATCCATTGGAACATTTTTGGTAATATAAATGACATTTATTTCGAATGAGGCCATGTGATTCAAATACAGTTTTTTTTCTAATTTGGGTTAGTGGCTGTGCGTTCTGTAAGCGCTGGTTTGTTTGTCTTTTTGGAGGAAAATCAAATGTTTCGACTTTTGACATCTCCAGGGAATCCCGATAGCCGAGCGAGCTCCGATCTAGAGTCCCATTAAAATATTTATGGTGATTGAAGAACTCGATTGTATCGATTAGCCTTTCTTCTATTTTATTCTTACTCTTACTAAACGTTTTAATCAAGTACTAATAGGTATGCAGGGTTTACTTGGTTTATCTTTCACAGTAAAAGGAAATAATAAAACACGGAAAGCAAATTTGTTCCTTATTACCTATTTAACATTTGGATCATACTTAGTGTAAAAGTTTTTTATATGAACTTATTCAAGCATTTATTATTCACCTGATCTGATGACCAGTAAAACATAACCTAATAGTTATGCATGTAAGTTTCATAGAACGAAATCCCTCTCTGAGCGAACATGGTTATGTGGGTGGGATATTTTACAATATCGTGGTTACAGTAAAACATCCACATCGCGATATTTGTGTTATGGATTTAGAGCAAAAACGCCACCTACCATAACTCACATAAACAAATAAAATTACAAGGATTATAAATAAAAAACCGGCCAAGTCAATTATTTATAAAAACGGCATAAAAATCATGTCTGTTGTATGGGAGCTCCACTTAAATATTTTTTATTCTGTTTTTTTTAGTATTTGTTGTTATAGCGACAACAGAAATACATCTTCTGTGAAAATTTCAACTGTCTAACTATCACGGTTTATGAGATACAGCCTGGAGACAGACGGACAGACAGACGGACAGACAAACAGCGGATGTCTTAGTAATAGGGTTCAGTTTCACCATTTGGGTACGATACTCTAAAAACGCCCTTGACGCATTATGGCAAACTTAGAAAGACCACAGACGATCATGCCTATCATGCGATTCGAACACTACGCGGTGTGGCAATGAATAAGTCAAAAAAAAATATTCTTTGCTTCAATGCCGTCTGCGTTTATTATTATTTATTATCGGGCCGATTATATTACTTTCATTTCATGTTTCAATTGACTTCACGTTTAGCAAATTTATTAACATATCGTGTCTAAAAAACTCCATTAATTTTTAAATATGGTGCTATTAGATCTAAAGACGAGTACACAATACATGCAATAAAAACCAATGTTTATTTGATCATAAAAATATTGGCACTGACATTAATTCCATAGCTACATACTTAATATGCAGAAGTAATAAAAATTTCTTAAAAATGAAGCATACCGTTTCATTAACTTAATTGACGGATATAAGTAAGTATCCGGAATTATACATATATATTCGAACATAATTATCTAACTTTTGTGTGGCTATCACTTAAGATGTCCGAATTTAATTTTTGTGAAGAAAGTGACGAAATACTTATTTAAAACGAATAGTCTGTAACTGGCTTTAACGCAAAATTTTGCCACGATTTTATATAAGGCGCAGTTGGACACCTGACTAAAGTTTGCGGTGTAAAATTGGCGAATACAATCTAAAGGTAAAACATTTGTATTACGTATTTATATATAGTAATAAGAATAATCAGCCACAATATACTACAATATTTAAAGTTTTTCAACGTTGATAATATCCTAATCCATATTATCTTAGAATACGACAACTTTAAGATATTTTTCTAGTGTCTGAAAATTGGACTTACCCATTTTTCTGTGAACGCGTTTAGAATGCTTCCAGGGCTGTTTCGTAAACGGAATGTAATAGACATTTTTTTTTTCTCGTTGCATAAAAGTAAGCGTCGTGGGCACTTTTCACATTAAAAAAAATTTTTTTGCCAGCCCCAGGCATCCTGTGCGTTTTGATATATATCGCCGAGAGAAATACGCGCCTTCTGGGTGTAGATTGTCCAGGAGTTGCATATAATATGTGTTAAAGTAATTACGATATTCTTTAAAATTTTCTCTTTTTTGACCCGCTTGTGAAAATTCTAGCCATTCTGCCCCTTTAAACAAACACCTTCATTCCCTTCTCAATATTGACATTACTTTAATCTGTATTTTTCAAAATATGACTTCATTTCACTGGACTATTGTCCATTGAATAATATTTTGTTCAGATTACAATGCCAACGAGATAAAGCCTGACAAGATTATCAGGTAGTTTACATTGCCGAGGTAGCTCTTACGATACTTAATCGAAATCATTAAACGGGGCTGATATAATGGAAGCCTGTCATAAAATTGACACTAGCCTCGGAAATCGGTGTCGTCGTGTCTGACCGTCAACTTTAGTAGACCCGGTAGACGGCGGGTGTGAAGTGATCTCGATAAGAGAGAAAATTGGTGAAGGTTAATCACATCTTGAAGCGTGCGCTCCGCAAGATATCCTAGAATCCCCTCTCACAGTTGTTAGTATGGCCACCGAGGTGACCACTTAAGCTATACATACCGGAGTTTTACTATAGGTGCTGTTTTTTTTATTCTTCTTATAGATGTAGATAGTAATCGAATTAGAAATGCAGCCAAAAGGACAGAAGTCGCGTCACGTATAAAAATATTTGAAGATAGTTAATTTTTTTTTCACAGAATGCGCCGGTTAGCGTTATTAATAACGTTTGCCACAGTATGCCTGGCGAGCTGTCCTGACAAAGGTATTGGTGGCTACCGCAACAGCGAATGGATGGCCAATAGTGTTGTTGTAAAGCTATTTAATTTCTTCTACGACAGCATGTAAGTTTTGCAACTCCATTAAATATTTTTCATTGTTAAAATATGTAGAAAATGTATGAAAAGATTGTCGCCGCTGTGGGAATCGAACCAACGTCTTCGGCATTCGCGGCCTAACGTTTTAACCGCTAAGCTAAACGGCTGATTGCCACACCGACGAAAATCTTAACGTATTTTATCTACATTGTTTTTTAGCATTTGAAGCAATGCTTAGCGCATTGCTTGTCTTTCCAGCATACAAATATTTTTCGTACTTGTTCTACATATTTTAATGTTCAATCTTAAGTGCAAAGATTAGCGCTTTAAACAATTAAAATTTTTCATTTAGAGAAGACGACGTGTGTAGTGCGACTTATTTAGGACGCTAGGGCTGCGGTAATTACTTAACATCAGGTGAACCGCCGCGCCAGCTCGATTGACGACCTTTCACATAAAAAAAACGTCTCTACCAGTGCCCTGACTTCGGGGGACACGTGCTCGCCGGAGAAACGCTTCGTGTCTATATTCACGCTGGTCAAGACGATCTTCCTAACGACGAACAGCACGGACGTGGGGACGGCCGTCTCCATCGCAAAGGCCAAAGCGGCGAAACAACTGAAGAATTCGGCTGCAGCATTGGCGGGCACTTTCCGGGGGGCCGTCAACCGGATACTTACAATAATCGATCAGGTGACATTTACCTCATCACACTTGCCTGCAGGAGACTGATGCTGTGGCTCCTGCTTCTTCCTAATTACGGCCAGATTTTGTCTTCATGATTATATTCATCATCATCATCATCATTTAAGCCTGTTTGAGTCCACTGCTGAACATAGGCCTCCCCCACAGACTGCCATTAAGTACGATCCTGAGCCACCTGCATCCATCGACTTCCCGCACATTTGCACAGGTCGTCACTCCATCTAGTGGGGGGTCGTCCTACACTGTGATGGCCAGTACGAGGCTACCACTCAAGAACCTTTCTTCCCCAACGGTTATCGGTTCTAGAATAAGTGGCCGGCCCATCGTCACTTCAGCTTGCTAATCCTCTGAGCTATATCGGTTATCTTGGTTCTACTGCGGATGTCTTCGTTAATTATATTAAGTATTAAAAATTTAGTTACTGACTTCACAGCAAATTGTTATGCAGTTGTTGATAGTTAACACACTAGATAGTCTTTGAGGCAAGACACAATCGTTATAATGTTGTTTCATAAATAAACGGTGCCCGGGAAAGTACGTCTTCACGGAAATGCAAAGTATTTCTATTCAGGCATTCTTATTGGTGAACCATGAAGTGAAATATTTATTCATTTACCAAATGATCTCAAGAATAATATATGTATTCCAAGAAATTAGACAGAAAAAAAGGATTTCCACTTATAATTGTGACTACGTCGTCCTCTACATCCGCTCTAAATAATGTTCTTCGAATTAATCAGATTGTCTAGATCGTCTGAATTAAGTTATAAATATATTCGGAACCTTTATAAACAAGAGGTTAGTAAGGGTACAGCAAGTTTAAATTAATATACACATTAATCCACATAGCAATTAAAAAAATTATAAATTAACATTAGCATAACATATTTGTACATCTGTAATGTTTTTAAATTAGTATATCTTACTACAAAATATGTCATTAAATAGAATTATGGTAGCTATCCATAATTCTAATGACTTGAAAAAAATAAAATCATTATATTATGTTTATATTTTTAACCTAAAAAAATGTTGTCCCTGGTCAATATAACCTAGGTAAATATAACCTTCTATTAAGCTCTATTGTTTCAATTTACTGTATAACGTGTATAATTAACTTTGTATTAAAGTTAACCGCTGATTAAATCGGTCCCTTACGGGTCGCGAGGTTATATGGTTTAATTATCTGTAATGAAGCCATCAACGCTTTGGAATAGTTGGGCTCGAGGCATTAAAACAAAATTAAGCCACCATCAAATACGAATGAAACTGTTTTATATTCTATTAAAATAACATTAGCATAGGGATGTTCGTGCAGAAAAGAAGAGACACAAGTACCTATTAATGGTTTATTGTTTTTGATTGACCGATAAACTACGCCAATATCGAGGCGCTTCCCTCTAAACAAAATCTAAAGTATTGTATCCTAATGTGGTTTACGAGATAGGTCTATTCTCATCTTAATAATCCCAGATCCTTGAAGAGTCAACACATAAGTCTTGAAGTGCGAGATGATGGCCGAATGTTTACCATTATAAAACTGTAAATTGTAATTAAATTATTGCAATATCGCAAGCGATGTTAAAGTATTGTGATACCAACGGCATAACAATATCTGTCTCATAACTGTATGGCCTACATATAATGGGAAAGTGTTACTATGTCTTTGTAAAATCTCAGTTAACTTATTTTAAATAACAATTGAACATTATTCAAAAATTATCAAAATCTGATTAAATCTAAAGGCCAAAATTTCAATAAAAAAAGAATAAAACGTTTCTACGGATCATACAGTATTAGATAAGATAAATTTTTAATTGCTCAATTTAACACAATACTACTATTCAGTGTCTAATTTGTATTCGTGCTTAAAATCGTTTATTTAAATAAATTTAACAAATCTCTATCGGATGAAGTAAATACCTAACCAGCAAATGTACAGAATCGCTTTTCACAAAATAATGTGGAGTTATTTAACTGTTTAGACCCAAATTAGCCAAATTAATGATCATCAGCCTAATCATTTCATTAAAGGTGCAACAGCGAATAATTTGGATTACGCTGGGCTTTGAACATTTGAATTTACAATTTGATTTGGAAATGTATATACTGAGAATCTAGTGATTAAATAAAAAGTTAATAGACCTCAATGGAATACATTCATTACAAATGTTTATATTGATATTTTCTGAAGCCTGCAAGACATGGAAATGTAAAATACATGATACACTTTTTAAACCCTTTACGAATATACGTGTCCTATAAAGTTTTTAATTAAATTTTGGCATTTATTGTAAACCGTACCCATAATGTATAGAAGATAGATGTATCGCCATTTCACATAATAATCGTGGTCGTAATATTGAGAAGAATTTATATATGTTTGTGTTTGTATGTGTTTATATATGTATAATATTTATTTATCTACGAAAGAAAAGTATGTTTAAGTATGTTTATCAGTTATCTGGTACCGATAGTACAAGCATTGTTTAGTTTGGGACTAGAGAACGTTGTGTAAAAAATGTGTCCTAAAATATTTATATTTATTTATTTATATTTATAATTAATCTTATTGTCATCTTGTCGTCGTTTTTTTATACGTATACAAATTTTCAATCATAGACGTTGTTATAAAGACGGTGAAAGTTAATGTAACTAACGAAATATTGTGTTAAATTGACAGATTAGAATACAGGTGAAGAATGCTAGAAATGGAATTGTCCTTGATTCGACTCAAAACAAAAGGTTTTGCAGAGATTCCGGTTGATAGTACAAATCCGTTCGGAAATCACAAACACGCCGTACGTGCTTAAGTGCGAATCCACATCGCACTTGAGAGCTGGGCATTTGAGCATCGCGATTATAGACAGTGCCACGCTGCAGTGCACAAATCTCAAAATTGCATTTCGAATTTAAACTGGATCAACTATTTGGAACTGTCAAAATACTACGACTCCTTAATTCAGTTTGACATATAAATCCATACTAATAATATAAATGTCAAAGTAACTCTGTCTGTCTATCTCGCTTTCACGCCAAAACTATTGAACCGATTTAAATGTATTTTTGGTACACAGATAGTCTAGAGCCTGAGAAAGGACTAAGGCTATTTTTTAATTGGAAAAAACTTTAAAATATATATTTATTTAAGGGCTTCAACGCGAGCTAAGCCGCGGACGAAAAGCTAGTTACAGATATACGCTTTATAGTATTAACATACACTACAATGTAAAATCGTAGGCATATCGAGAGCTAATAGATAGGTTACCAGGAAAGTAGTTTCAGTTATTAAATTTATACGAGTATGATCATACTGCTGACGTTTAGATGCAGAAATTAATAACTTTTGATATGAGCGTACTACCGTACATTCCTTTGCATCTGCATCTGCATATTTTTAAATGTTGAAAAAAGGCGTCTTCACTTTTTATATGTCATGTCTTCGTTAAGGTAACTACTGTACTACTGTAAACCACATCGAATCAATCACACTCACACTCCTGACAGCATTACTAATTAACTGTCATTCATCAGCCCATAAATGACGTGCTCACAAGCTGCCCGCCCGATGAGTACCAAGAAGAGTGCCAAGCGACTCTGAGGGATTACCACAATCGCAATGAGAGACTGTGCAACGGTTATTACAAGAACGTGGCGTTGTACAACAGCATCTCCAAATGGGCGAACAGCCAAGAGAGCATCGACTACATTGACGACATTGTCAAGATGAGCAAGAATAAGAACAATGACACGGCAGTCCTAGATTATTTCGGGAAGATTGCAACCTCCAAGTATAACAGCACGTTCAAGGAGCTACGTAGGATTGTCACGCAAGTGAAAAGCGGCACCTTCAATTGCAACATCCTCTCGTTCGTAAACAGCCAGTGCGCATAATAATTGTTAATCCGTAATCTCTTGAGCATTTTCTGAATAATGCCATCAACATTGGGAATTTTGTTTAATATAATAAAAATAAAATAAAATGTTTGTTTCAATTATTCCTCTCACAGCTATATTTCAAACTTGTTTATTTTTGGAGAAAAGAGAGATGTTTAATAAATGTAATAGTGTACATTTTGACACCTCTTGAATCAACATGTCTAAGAACGTAGACAAAAATTGGTTCAAAAATTCCAGTTTTCTAAGTAAGAAGGTGGCGGTTAATCACCGCCGATACTTATAATGCCTGAAAATGGCTGACACATTTGGTGACACTATCTTCATGGAATCTTCAAAAGATACCTTGTCATTAGATGACAGAGTTTAGTGGGGAATCCGGGATCTCCGTTGATGCTAAACCTTACCTTACCTTATGCACTGAATGCCATCTCATCTATTGTTAACAAATCAATTTTAAAAGGGTCATTCCCAGAGCAATGGAAATGTGCAATAATAACGCCTATACCCAAAAAGTCCAAAGTAGAAAGTGAAAACGACCTGAGACCTATTGGCGTCTTATCCGCACTGTCTAAGGTAGTGGAAAAATGCGTTTTGATTCAGATTCTGCCGTATCTGGAATACAATAATATTATTCCTACTCTGCAATCGGGTTTTCTCAAAAAACTACTACTGCACTTGCACACATAGTCGATGATATTCTAACTGCTTCTGATGAAGGTAAAGGTACTATACTTATTGAAGTGAAACTTCTTTATCGGGGTTGGAAAAAAATTTAGTGTAACATTTTTGCATTACGCGCCATTTTTTTCTTATCTTAAAATGTTCCTCTAACGCCATCTAGTGTTGAATAGGGGGTTTTATGTCGTCTTTATTCTTTAGTGGTTTTAATAGTAAACAATATATTTCGTATTTCAGTTACCATAAGCCATTAATAACACAAAAATATAATAACGACATCAATGATAGTAATAATTCTATTACAATTAATGAAATTCAATAATAATATTTGTAGTAACGACAGTGCTAGCTCTAATACTTCAGAGCACGACACTGTAGAGACTTCCTCTTCTCCAAAGGCAGGCACCGCCCACCGTGACCTGACTGCGCCGTCCATCGAAGACACAATCTGAAGCTGACCGATGATGCTCTTCGAAGCCTCGATCGGCTCCTGGAACTTGCGGTTGCGACGTCGATCCGACGTCCGCAAGTTCGGTTTTCCAAAAAAAGGACCATGTACAAATTGAAAGCGGTTGTATTTTGGGTCCGTGAGGTTAATTGAAATAAACAAGGTTCACGTTGGAAGTTTTTTAATCAACATTTTTTGCGGACCCTCATACTAATTACAACGGTCAAACCATACTGTGTTTTAATTTACGACTAACGCCACCTATGTAGTACAAATAAGAAACTAAATATTATACAAAGCTAAAATGAAATAATTGTAGAATTTGTATTTATGTCTATGATAATAAAAGCCTTTTATTAAACTTTATCTAATTTAACTTTATTTAACCAATTTCTGTAAAGTTGCATATAGTTAATTATTTTTTGAAAAATAACGTCATAAAAAAGTTTCACTTCTTACGAGTGTACGCTAGTACACGCACACATTTTTTTTTATTAGACTTCTCTCGTGCTTTTGACTGTGTCTCTATACCGATACTTTTAAACAACCATTGGCGGTATCTAGAGGATTAATCCAAGGGTCGATCCTCAGTCCTACGCTGTTTGCAATCTACACGTCGGGTATAGCCCAAAAAATACTATTTTCACGCTTTCATCTCTACGCAGACGACACTCAACTCTATGTTCATGTGCCAATCTCAGCTGATGGGGTATCGAAGGCAGTTGCGGAACTCAATCAAGATCTCGAGAATATCGTTGCATGGTCCGAACAACACAGTTTAGTCTTGAATCCTAAAAAAGCACGTACATTATTTGTGGAACAAAACATCAAACGAACCTTATAAAATCTCTTCAGCCTTGCATTAAAATTGCTAATTCTACTGTGCCTCTTCAAAACTGCGTTCGTAACCTAGGCCTCCTAATTGATGAGAATCTACGCTTCCAGGAACATGTCCAACAAAAATAAGTGAATGTTTTGCAGCTCTCAAAACTATCTATAACCTTAGACATTTCATTGACAACAAGTTACGGTTGCAGTTATGTAATACGCTTGTATTATCTCATTTACATTATTTCGATATCGTATACGGTCCGTGTCTTTTCCAAAAAACTTCAAAGGCGATTCAAAGGGTTCAAAGTGCATGCTTAAGATATTGCTATTCTATACCTAAGCGACATCATATATGACCGTATCTGGCTGAGAAAGGTATATTAAACATATCGTCTACAAGAACTTTAAAACTGGCTTGTTTCATGTGCTCATTATTCAACTTTAAAGTACCGCCCTATTTATACAATAAATTTAAATGGGCATCCAATGTTAATAATAGACTTACGGCGCATACTAAATCTCTTATTGTTCCTAGACATAATCTAGTGCAAACAGGCTGCTTTAAAATTGTTTCATCAAAATGCTGGAATGATTTACCACCACCTATTCGCGGGCTGCGGTCAGTACATCATTTTAAAGCAAAATATAAAAAATGGATTCTGATGCAACAACAGCTCTCTGGTAGCACATGATAAGACATTTTAAGGCAGTTTACATTTATCATTATGTTTTAATTTCACGGTGAAGTTTTTTTAGATATTGTTATTTTTTTTTCCCATTACTATTATATTTTAGTTTTCAATACTTAAAATTTTAAAAGTGTTCTGTCAGTCTGTGTAATGTCAGGCTGGGGTAGAATATCAGTGTTGTGCACAATGTGTGTAACGAACCTGAACCCCAGACCATTTAGTCTAAAATCTGACTAATATAATTGTATTTTAAATTACTTGTACCTACATTATTTGTGATTTTAGACCAATAAAGACCTATTATTATGGGGGGACCTAAGATAGACCTATTATAGACCTATTATTATTTATTATTATTATATGGAACGCACCGGTGTCCCTCGGAACTGCGCGTAAGCACGCCTCGAAATTACATACGTCGAAATTATATGGCATCAAACAATTTATCATTTGAATTCAGCGTATAAGTTTGAACTCAGTGCCAGGCTTAATACAACAAAATGTATTTCTTAAATTAGATGGACTATAACGCATGCATTTACATACTGTTTTACGGTTGTCCGACCATCTGACTTCAACCATCCTTAGGCTTAATCAACAAAAACGTAGTGATTACATTCTCTTTGTTAATCAATGCCAGTCGTAGATGTTGCCTTTAACAAAACTAGTAAGTGTAAACTTAGACAAAATTGTGTAGCTGTCACATTCTTGACATATTTGTAATAATAACCGACATTTTAAACTTTTTAAATTAATTTCAATTTAATCTCTACACTGAGGAAAAGGTATAAAAGCGCCATCTATTACATTAAATGAAAAAAGAAAATTTATGATAAGCGTCATCTATTTCAGAACCACTTCCAATCTTCTTCGTATAATATGTGTTTTAAGATTGTTATAAACGAGTTTAGAAGAAAATTAATCATGAGTTAAAGAGATGGCGCAAAATCAAATGTCCAAATATATCGCCCAGTGACAGACCTTCGACTGAGGTTTTTTTTTATGTGAGAAGATGGCAAACGAGCTGGCGGTTCACCTGATGTTAAGTGATCGCCACCCATGGACATTTGCAACTCCCTACGGCTGCAGATGGGTAGATCTTTTAATAAAGTGGGCGTGGAAAGTGAGGGTCGATACTTCAATATTTTCAAAACTTTCCAAGGAATTAGTTTAGTAGACTCAGAAAAGACTATTTAAAATCAATTTCATGTCGCAATTTTGCTGTTACAGTGCCAATTACATCGAGGAATTACCAAAGCACGTCAAATGATCGATATAAAACAGCTTTTGCTTGTGGATTTCCGGCGAACGTCAATCAAAGGCGTATTTATTTCAATGGGGGTTATCACTAATTACCAGACGGACCAGCAATACGGTAGACACATTATCTTACATACAATATGTACAGAGACTTTCTAATATGACTTGCTATATTATTAGAAGAGCGCCTGATCTACCCTAGAATAATAAGAGAATTAGCATTGAATAGCAGAATACTACTGAATGGTACCAATTGTGAAACATTGTGAATACATCCTAAACTTATTGACTTATTTCAATATAATATTGAATAATTTACTTGTACTCCCAATAATAATCCAGGCCTGTTGCCTGGATTATTATTGGGAGTACAAGTAAATTATTATCAAAGTTTGTAATTTGATTTGCACTTTGTACATTCATTGATCATATCGATCAATGAATGTACAAAGTGCAGTCATAATACTTACCTACGTCAATGACAACTAAACTTCTAGGCTAAATATGATGAATTATCTCTGGAAATATTATAGAATTAACTAGTTTATGTGTTCCCGTTTTAGAATAAAAAAAAAGTATGGGTAAAGTTAATAATAATTCATAGGCATGTAATCAAAAGATTATAGTACTTGTCTGTACAATTTATTTTTTGTATTGTTAATTTTATTTAAAATAAGTACCCAAATGCACAAAACGTTTATTTACAAAAACATCCATAATAAACACTAAGATACATGTATTACGTCTATGCTAAAATGGACTTCTACACATGGAAAAATATTTAATTTTCCTACGTTACCGTTATACTTAAAATTAATACAAAATAATTTACTTTAGGCCTTTGCTGATACAACATCGACATTATAACATATTTACAACTTAAATTCTATCATTCTCTAAATTAATTTTTATACATCAACAAACATGGACATAGTGAGTATCTGTTCAGACAAATCCGATATCTAATATAATAGATTCTGATTATTAAATCATGAAATACTACAATGTTTTGTTAAAATAATAATTTGTACTTCATTTAAAAAACAAACAAAAATTTACCTAAAGGCGTTATGCGGAAGTTTTAACTTCAATAAAAAACATATGAAATCAAACTGTATAATCATGGACGTCTTTGGATTTGACTTAAGGTTCGATAAATTGTACGCATAAAATTCTTTTAAAGAAAGATATTATGTATTCCTTACGCGTAAAATAAGTTTCCTTACAAGTCAATATTTTGGTCAGTGGTAATTGACAATAAATCCCTACAAACTGCTGAAATTAGTTATTTATTGAAATTAATTTCGTTTTTAGAAAATAGATAAATATCTTTTATTGTTAAAAAAATAGTATTCCTTGTTTAAATTATTACAATATAAAATAATATAGTAGCATGGTTGTTGAAAAGTATTTAACTGTTATAACATGCATAAATAAAATTTTTAAAATGACTAGAAATTTCCTACGAAAACTAATCTGAGTTTTTCTAAACTTATTCATGTATCCATGAACTCTATTTGCAAGCCCTAACCTCTTCATGTAGTTTAGATTAAACTGTTTTAAGAAGATCTAACAAACACTGTGTTATTATAACATATACCATAAATTGTATAAAATGATTTACATTTTGTACTTTGTTCAAAATACGTAACCAACTGATATCACGCAATATACGTACATACTTATGCGCAAACCTTAAATGCGTATTGGTTATGGGTACTGTAGGGTACTAAATCGCTTGACTGATGTCTAAACATCTATGTTAGTAAAACCGAATAACGTAGTTAAACAGAAAAAGGTCTTGTCTCGTATTCAATATTTTCCTTTAAACACAGAATAAGTTCAATGTGATACCAGTAGACATGTGTAACGACACATTACACATGTGTAACGACGTAGAGAATTTCCAGAGGTAAATGAGCCTCGAGTTTTGCGCCTCTATATGTAATTTTTAGGGGTTCCGTACCCAAAGGGTATACTCCCAGACTAGCCACAGACTCCCTATTATTACGGCTGTCGGTGACTGTGTCTGTCCGTCTATCACCAGGCTGTATCTCATGAACCGTTAGATGCAGAAATTTTGCCATATTGCCTATTTTGCCTATTTCTTTTGCCGCTATAACAACAAATACTAAAAAACGGAATAAAAAATTTAAGTGGTGCTCCGATACAACAGACATAATTTTTTTTGCCGTTTTTATAGATAATGGTACGGAACCCTTCGTGCCCGAGTCCGACTCTCATTTGGCCGGTTTTTTTTTTAATTTACTAAAACTCGTAATAAGTAAAAATTAAACAATCTTCGCTTCTTTCTTTATGTATAATATAAAACTTTTCCTGTACGTTCCAATTAATTCGTTCAAGGTGGCGCTGCAGCAACATTGTTGGGTACTATCTCCGACTCCTCATCGGCTGTATCGGCCTCGCTTTCCTTCGAAATCGGCTCATCGGGCTCGTCTCGCATCAAAGTTCTATACTTCTTCGCGATGATTTCCCAGTCGACTACGTTCTCGATGCGCGTCATGTTGTTGAAGCTCAATTGAGAACCCAGTGGGCTTAAATGTACAACTGAGAGACGTGTCGAATCTAAAATTGTGAACGCATTAGTTTGGGAAATCATTTTCAATGGTAAAAGTAAAATAACAGCCTATAAACGTCCCACTGCTGGGCAAAGGTGTCCCCTTTACAGATGATATTTGGGCAAAATCGACCACGCGACCCCACTGCGGATTTGCGTACTTCAAATAATATCTTGTATGTTCTCACTTGTGGAAACTTATTTTAGAAACTACAGAACATGCATACAACGTATGCAACAAGGAATACAGTAGTACAAGGAGTACAATAAATCAGCACTTGAAATTAAAAATTTAATTGGTTCTGGCACCGAGACTTGAACTCAGGTTGCTCGATTATATTGAATTAGGAATGAGAAACTAATATATTACAGCTCAGTGTCCGGATATTAGCTAGTGTAGTCTTTAATTCATTTCTATTGTGAGTAATCTATCTTAATTCAGAAAAAAATAAGTAAATTAATGTTACCTTTTGGTACGACCTGTCCACGTTTTACCTTGGATAACCATTTCGCACCCGCTTTCGATCTTGCACTCAACTGATCTTGCCTTTGCATTCCGATCATGTGCACCAGACTGGGCCGCTTCTTCTTAGTTAGACGACTCTAAAAGCATTGTTATATCTTCGTAAAACTGTTTAAAAGGACTAAGTAAACAATAACTAAACCAATAGAACGGTAAGTATTTAACAACCAATAAAAATAAATTAAATGAAATGGATACAAACAAAATAACTCACCTTGCATCTATGAATAAGCCACATGAGCCACGTCGTTACTAAGTTTAGGGGAGATGGGGCAGTGTTCGTCCGATGCATGTTGCGAATAAGCTTTGATAAACCGTACTTCCACTCTATATCGGATTGAGCCTGAAAATGTATCAAAAACCATAACAAATCTTATTCAATGGCAATAGTTCGTGATGGTGTTGTGGGTTAAGGGGGTAGTTTTTCCCAATAATGGATTAAATATTATGATTCATTTTGCAAAAAAATATAACAGATTTTATAGTCTTGCGTCGAAAGCTTTTTAAATTTAGTTACCTCCTTTTTAAAATGTAAATATTGACACATGATAAGTACGATAGCAGTATTGGTATCATTTCTTCGTACATAAACGATGAAATAGAAGATAAAATTACACATAAAACAGGCAAAATAAATACAATAATAGCTTTATAATATATATTAGATACATTTTAGGTTAAATTTCAATTTTAATGTTTATTATTACTAACAGTAATTAACGTGGTTAACAATAATAAATATTAAACATTTTTGATTTGGTTATTTATTTAAATACGGTGCAGATATTGGTAAAAGCATTGCGTATGTTTTAGAGTATGTTGCTATTAAAACATCGGAATAATAGAATTTATCTCATTATTTATATGGAAATATTTTTAAACAGCGTTGTCGAGCTTAGCGCCACATAGATGTATCTATATACCTGTATTCTCTGATATGTGTCTGACATCATAGCAATCAGGAGATTAATTAGTACCACCACCGATACCAGCATGTAAATTCCGAACACAATTTTGAACAGATAATTCGTCCATGCCGGCTGGATGTTTGTGTCGTTTCGGTGCACCCTCGTCTGCTCAGTGGTGGTCTGACCGAACACCGCGAAGAACAGCAGCTCGAAGGAGAACAGTGGATTCATGGTCACTGCGAACAAGACACCGAGTTCCGAATAACTTTGGATTACCTGTATGCGCTGATAAGTGTCCGACATCATCGCAATTAGGAGCGTTATTAGCACCACGACAGATATCAGCAAGTAGGCCCCGAAGACGAACTTGAACAGGTTCTGCGTCCACCAAGCCCTCACGCTGGATATGTAGTTTAAGTCGGACAACGTAATCTGGCCGAAAAGGGCGAAGAACAATTTCTCGAAGGCCTCGATCGGTGATAAAGTCACTAGAAGACAATACTCAAATGGACCGAGTTCTCGGATTGCTGGAATCAGCACAAGAGAGAGGTAGGGGTAGCTTAATGCACTAATCTTCATCCAAAAGAGGAAGCTGTAAACGATGAAGTCTTGTGTTCATGTTTTACTTAGCATCAATTTACCCCTACTACAAAATCTAAGATTTATTCGAAACAATGCTACATATCGTAACAAAATGTCACGAGATTAACTGGGTATTTAAATAAAAAAAATGAACAAAAACTATTTCGTTACGATAAATTGCATTACCGAACCCAAATCACTTTTAAAATGTCACTATTTTAACGTTAAATGTGCATGGACTGGGTAGATTGATACGTGTTAATTTGATGGAATCTCGTTTAGTATAACTGTACTGTAATGTTTTATTGTTTGTATTTCATGAATGTTTGTGATATTAAAAACAAAATAGAAATAATAACCAATCTCGCTGCATCATTCCACCCCAATCCTCTCTACGGCAAGTACATGAGTGGTGTCGGCACACAAAATGTGCCACAACGACGACAACAAAAAACACATCCGTAGCATAAAGTGATACCTCTGGACACTGGTGTGACAAACGCAGGACATAAGCCAGCGACGGCATGCGCAAAACATAATTGCTCCATCAAATGCGGTGAGGTCGGCCACTCATTCCACTAAAACTATGATTGCGACGAGCAATGCGTGTTCCGTGCCGGCAACGGCACCTGGAATACACATCTCCCGTACAATTTCACGCAGCGTGTTTTGGCAGATATTATTGTGAACACATTCGACAATTTCGCTAGTTGATGATGATAGAAACTGACCAAAAATTCTGTATGTCATTGTAACTTATGCTAAGAGTGTTCATTTGTATTGTACAGACCTATCACATTCCACATTCATTTTGTGTAGTAGTTGCAAACACTTTCTAACGAGTACTAACTTCAATAATATCAATAGACCATGATAACATTCCCGATGTGGCGACGAACATTCAAGCCTGCAAGCGGATGGATTTTAAATAAAACAAATAAAATAAAAAGCACATCGATTTGTACTGCAACCACCATATGAATGATATAGTTCGTGAGCGACAAAATAAAAGTAAACATCATTTGCCTCTATCTCTAACACGGACTTACGTCCCGTTGGTCCCTGTTTCCTCCGATAAGATTCCCCAGAAGGACTATTGATCCATTGTGAATCATATGTCTGTCGTTTCATCCGTAGACTATTATCTATTTTGTAAAACTATGATTAAGCAAAAAGAAATGTTAAAAGTGTTTCAAATGTTGAAAAGATACAATAACGATTTTAATTCTGTTACAATTTTAACGATTTAAATTTAAATGTTCTTGTCCAATCTGAGAGTAGTTCTCATTAGTGTGACGTGATATTATAACTAAAAAGTAGTAAAGAAAAACACTGACCGTCTGAGAAGAGTCTTCTTCTAGCTTGTCGAGCGTATTTATTGTCTTCCGGTTTGTTTAGATTCCTGAACGGTTGATTTAAGGCGACTATGTGCATTGAAAACCCAAAGACAAATATGGCTAAAACAGCTAAGAACCTACCCAAGTCCTTCATTAGATCTCCTATAATAATGGCCCAAGGACCAAACAAATGATGAAATGACAAAAAATCCAAAATCTGAACACACGCCAATAGAAAAGAGAGAGCGAAGCATTGATTCCTACAATACATTAACGTTGGCCAGTATTTAGGCATGACGAATATCCAGCCTACAACATGGGTCGCCACCCCAATCATTCCTAATAATAATACAGCTATCTTTATCCACCCTAATCCAGACTTATCACTGGGGTTTGTTAACTCAAACAATAAAAGTCCACTTAAAGATATAAGCAACATCCACTCATACCATCTTGGGACTAAGCTTTCCCTAAATATGGAATTGTAAATCGGAGTTATCGCCACCAACGCTAACAAAACCATGAGATAAATATGGGCCGTTAAATACGACATAAATTTAATGATTGGAATTTTATTATATTTATGGCCTAGAGGAAGAGAGAATACCAGCCAAACTGGTGGGCATATTATAAACGTGAAAAAAAGGAACATAATTTTGATGCCACTCCACTTAAGGCTCCCTCTCCAGAGTTCCTGAAAGAAATCAAGAGCTTTAAATATCACAACGCTTGCTTAATAGGTAGCATTACAATAGTAGACGAAGTTACCTATTTTTTACCTGAAGATATCTTTGGACGACTGTGTGTGCAATAACTTCTTTTTGCTCATTCTCTATTAATACGTCTAAAAATTCGATATTACGATTATCTGTAGCGGTAAGTATATGACCAGCTGAATCAGCACCGGCAGCTAAGGCTAACAGTTCTGTTGCCATCGCTTCACATTGTTTACCAGCCGCTATAAGGTCTTTGGCACGCTCCTTTTCCTAATAATCATAAAAACATCTTTAATACAAAATAAATATATAAATACAAAAAAATGTGTTAAAATCAATACCATACCTTAGTAGATAAATTTATATATAGGTTTGACAACTTCGCAGCTGTGTCTACTGGTGCTGGTGAAACTAATACAAATTCTTCAATTGGTATATTGTTGTGATTCTTAGAGCACACCATTAGGTTATAAATGAACCTCTTATCGTCCATAAGAGATTGCGTATCGTGTTCTTTATGCAACAGGTATTCGAGAACATCATTATGATTTTCAGATGCGGCAAACCAAATGGGAGCACAGTTCAAATTTGTTTCACTTTTTGGTGAGGCTCCAGACTCGCACAGCAATTTCACAACGTTCAAATGTCCAGCTTTTGCTGCACAGTGTAACGGTGTCCAGCCATTTTTATCAGTTGCATTTATTTCCGCACCTTGACCCAAGAGCACTTCAACCATTTGATAATGGCCATATGTGGAAGCGATGTGGAGTCCCGTTTTACCATGTCTGTCGATACTTTGTAGCAGCTCTGCTGACCGACTTAATAATAAACCTACAATTGACATATGTCCACCAAAACACGCAAGATGTAATGGATTGTATCCCTGAAAATTAGCAAATAACTAGTAAACTTTCTTCTTAAAAACATAATTTGTCTCTTAAAACTTCCTAAAATTTTGTTTCATTAAGTAAACTAAAGTAACTAACATTTTCGTTCGTAGCGGCATCGACTTGAACTCCAGGTGAGTTAAGAAGTAATCGCACAACATTTTCATTTCCATTATACGCCGCAAGATGGAGAGGTGTAAGCCCAGATTCCGCACCTAACACGGGAACTAAAGACATCCCCGTTGGAGGTTCTGATTTTACTGTGCCAGGAACGTGTGAAAGTAACTCGCGAACAGTTTCTAAAACGTTTAAAAAAATTATATAAATAAATGAGTAATATTATAATAAAAATTGAAGATCCATTTCATGTCGTCTTATTTGACTTACCAGCTTGGCCGTAATATGCTGCGATATGGAGCGGCGTTAGACCCAACTTTTTACTTGATATCCTTAGGGTATTAGTTGACCGCATAACTTCTAGCACATTTGTGTGACCATGTTCAGCTGCTAAATGAACAGCTGTCAATCCTGATCTATTCTCATCAGTACATGAAGCACCAGCTCTAACGAGAACTCGTACAACGTCTGCATGACCACCTTCCGCAGCTAATTGTAATGGAGTTGAATCATTCAACTTATTTCTGGCCGAAATAACACCGGTCCTATCAAATTTCATTAATTCTTCGATCACTTTTACTGAACCCTGAATTGCTGCTATATGGGCACAAGTATTTCCGTCTTTAGTGGTGGCCATGACCAAATTCGGGTGTTGTTGTAGAAATAATTGAACCACTTCAGAATAATTGTTCTGCGCAGCTGCATGGATTGGTTTTTGACCTAGCTCGTCTGTGGCATCAATATTGGCTCCTAATTCTAATAATAATTTACACACTTCTATTTGTCCACTGGCTGCAGCTAAATGCAAAGGCGTCTGCTTCTTTAAGGTGAGTACATCAATCATTGCGTTGTGATCTCGTATTAGAAATTTTACTAAATGTGCATATCCATTCATGGCGGCCAAGTGCAAAGCTGTTCTTCCATTTCTAGCTTTTGAGTTTATAAATGCTTTGTTAGTTAACAAGGCATCACATACTTGCAAGAAACCATGTTCAGCGGCTAAATGTAGTGCTGATCTACCTTCAACATCAAAGACGTCTACCCTAGCATGATTAGTGAGTAAATTGTTTACTAATTCCATATGTCCTCTATGACATGCTATTAATAGAGGCGTCCAACCGATGGAATTTTGTTTATTGAGAGCCTTACTGACGTCAGCTGTCGACATGTCAGAAATCATCTCAGTCATGACATCATTGTTACCAGCGATAGCGCAAAAATGAAAAACTGTTTCGTGATTATGTTTTGTCACTAATGTTACATCTGCTCCATTCTCCATTAGGCACTTTACAACTTCTTTATCTGCAGATGGCATTTTTACCTCTTCTTTGGTAATTTTGCATGCAAAGTGTAAGGCACTTGCACCATCTTCATCAACAGAATCAATATACGCCGTGGCAACATTCTCCCCTCTTTTTTCCTTTACAAACTCTATTAAGTGCCGTACTACATCTGGTTTACAGCTTCTACACGCCATATGAAGTGGAGTTTCACCTGACTGAAAGATAAAAGATTTATCTTTGAATATACGTGTATAATTAAAAAAAAATCACCTAGTGTGTAATAAAAAGGCGCAGGTGCTCTAGCCACTAAACTAAGTAATCGATATCCTCATGGCGGCAAAATCTCGATGTAATTATCATCTACTTTGTTTTTATTGCACTTTTAGCAATGCGTGGTATTATCTAATGTGCTTTCTTTACAGCAAACACACTCAAATTGTTGCCTCAAATTTAGAGGGCGCCGATATTTATTATATAGAGACTAAAAATTTAATAGCTTTTTTTATTTCTTTAATTCAACGTTAATCCACAAAAGCTCATCATAAATACATAACAATTACATAATTCAATAAACAAAATTTATGATTCTCTAGGCACAGTTATAGGCTTCGATACGGTAGGTTTGATCCTGGTACAGTTTATACTGTTTACTGATATAGATATATAGAACGAACTAATGCTTTATGCATTAGTTTGTTCTATAGATATTTATTCCGAATATAAGTGAAACCTACGTTTAATATGTATATGCCTATGGTATTTTTTAAGTATGAGGAAATAAAATTATCCACCTTTGTTTTTCTAAGCGGGTCGCCACCATCCTCTAGGAGTAGTAATAAGGTTGCTAAGTTGCCATATTTAGCGGCCACGTGCACGGGCGTCATGCCGTCCTCCGTGGCTTTATTTGGCCCCGCACCAGACTTGAGAAGCATTATTGCACATTTGTCACCTATAAGGTAAAGAAAGAAAAGTAAAGCCTATATTTATACATCTATTTGTTCTACTGTTTATGCTAACTGTCCCATGTACAGAGGTCATTACGAAGTAGTAAATAAACATTATGGATTATCAAACTTTACACATCATGAAAACTATTTTGTTTCTTATAACACTTTACATTTATATGACTTAGGTTTTTCCTTACAGTCACTTGGCTATTTGGCTCGGGGCGGGAAGGAGCACTTCAAATGCAGCTGCATACTGTTTATGCGTTGTGTTGGTATCGCAGTACTCGTAAACCGGGATTAAGTATTTCTTTGTACAGCAAAAATATATTACGTTATCACATAACTCACCATCAGGTATCCTTGCTGCAATGTGCAGTGGTGTCTCTCGCTGCTTTCCCCCTCTTATGTGCACATCGGCACCGTATCCCAAGAGAGTTTCGACCACCGCTGGCTTGCACGACTCTACTGCGACGTGGAGTGCTGTGTAGTTATCCTGCAGTAAGTCAGTTTAGTATGTTCTAAAATAGTTACCTCTTATATAGATTTAAAATTTATATGATCCGCAAGAACAAAGTGGATGCTCTATATTGGAAATGGTTTATGTGAACATACGTTAGTCGTGACGTCCACACTCTCGCCCTTTTGCAACAATGTATTGATGATGCCCACATGACCGTAACGCGCCGCCGTGTGTATGCTTCGCGCTCCATCCTGGAAAGTAAAATAACATATATATATCCCACTGCTGGGCAAAATCCTAATACAGAGAGTAGACCACCATGCCTTCCCACTGTTTTACTTTGTTATTGATTACATTCCACATAATATATTTAAAATATTTTTAGTTATTACATATTTTGAAAATAAACAGGTTTCCCCATGATGTTTTCCTTCACCGTTGAGCACATGATAGGTCAGCACTTGTCATTGATGGTGGCACTGGGGATCGAACTCGGGTTGCTTAAGTATTTTGAATTAAATGCGAGCGACCAGACCTGAAGTAGAATACTAAATAATAAAAGAATAAATATAAGAATTGTTTTATATAATATCTTATAATAATAACACAAAATAAGTAAAGCTAACATAAAATAATTAAATAAATCAATAAACAAATAGTTATAAATATGTCAGGGTACACAATACAACGTTTTCTTTTTAGCGACGGGTTTCCATTATTAGCTTGCGACCATGAACCATGTTGAGAAAGAACGCAGTGACACTAAAGAGAATCGTTAGAGGGGCATAGGTCACTCTTGAATTCAGCCCCGTAGTTCCCCTGTCTGACATAAAAGACAATTAAAAGGGGACACGGGTGGGCAGCAGCACGAAGTGGTCTCATGCTGCTGCAAGAGGGTGAAGGGAATCGGAGGTTTATCCTTCTCTGAGGCGTGCTCAGGTGTAGTACCGTGGGACACCAGTGCGTTGCATGGAAGATCCCGGAGTCCCTCCAAATGTATAGAAGGTGGCCACCGAGGGGGTTTTAGTGGGTAGGAACCCCACATAACCCTGTCATGTACAACCCGATACCAAAAAAAAGGTCACTTGAATTATTGTAAGCGAAATTGTACAGTAGAGAACATAAGAAAAGAAAAAAAATAACATTTGCGCTGTATCAAAAATACGTTAAAATTTACAACAATATCAGAATGAATAAATTTGGACTGCAAAAGTAAAAGATTATACCTACACCGGTTTAAGAGAATAAACGGAAACTCCCTTTTCTTATTTATGTGGAGTTCAGCTTTTAACCTCGACAAGTACCGGTGGTATAATTAATCAGCCCCACCCCACCTCAAGTCACCGTGAGTGAAATAAAACACGACTGAGGTTGTAAACGAGTTTGTAAATGCCAAGACTCCCAGTTCCGACTACGGGGAAATAGCCAACTCAATTTCGTAATTATGATCTATATCAAATTTTAATATATCAACTGTCAATGGCTTTTCAAATTTCATTTTAGTTGCCAAAAGGATGGTTAAACTCTGAATTGACCAGAATGATCTTTTTAATATGGTCAAAGACAATAAATACAATTGATAGGATCAAAATGTAACTACTATTTATTTTTAAATAAAATAAGGCTTAATCGAACGTAGCGTTGATAAACTTGATGCAACCTTGTAACAAAAACATACTATTAAAGTCTGCTTACCTTGTTAGGCATATGAAGATACACCCCTTTCTTGAACAGCATCATTGCACAATCTGCGTGTCCATTCAATGAAGCGATATGCATTAAGGTACTGCCATCTTTAGTTCTTTCGAATATCGACGCCTTGAATTTGTCCGCCAGAAGCTCGATGATGGTGGCGTGACCATTTTCAGCCGCCAAGTGCATGGGTGTTCGATCTACGTTCGAAATTGTATCATTTAACTTACTTAAGTGTAACATATTTTAAAATAATTAAATTAGTATGAATATAATAAGCTTTTAGGTTAGATAGCTTATAAAATAAACAAAACTATCTAGATTACTTTTATAATATACCTAAAAAAATTTGAAACATGATTATTAATGAAGTACTTATAGCTAATAATAATATGTTTATATTTATGTTTTTTGAATTATATGAGACGGTAATAAAATAATAAACATATTATTTTTTATAATAAACATTTTATTACCGTTCCATATAATACATAGAACATGTTTCAAGATCATATTGAATTAAGGAAAATACGTATAAAAAATTTACATTACACTGGTGATAGAAACTTATTTCAAGACACAAACTTGTTCAATGAAAAGTTATGAACTACAGGGAATGGCGCAAAACGTAAACAGAACTTATACAAGTACATTCACTTACATAAGCGCGTTCACTGTAAAGTTTAAACAACAATGTGCTCGTACTCAACTCATCTTAATAAAACTTCAACGTAATATTTATACAATCCGTCTATATAGAAATGAGAATTGATTTCAGTGAATTGTAAATTTAGGTGATTTTTATTTATCTTCTCGGTACAGAGGATAAAAGTAGTAACTGTAGAAAAAGCACAAACTTTTTGTATAACAAGAAAAACCTGCAGATGTTCGATGTCGAAATAGAGAAAAAAAAAGAAATGAAGTAGTATTCGAATACTTATTTATGCGAATATTCATGGCTACTGCAAGACCATCTAGTGGTGACTTACAACTAAGAGGGATAGCATTACACCTTCTCTGTGAAAAAATAAATTCACATATATGTATGCAAACATCCGTTTTAAATATACAGATGTTACTGAATGCTTATTTAATCTGGAACCACAAATACGTTTCGTCTCTTACCTTCATTATCTGTGATAGCGGCGTTAGCGCGTACTCCATAGAAGTACTTGACTAGAGGTTCATCACCCTCGGCAGCAGCGATGTGCAAAGCGGTTTGTCCTGCCCCGTTCACCGCGTCCACTGACGCTCCATAGTCCACGAGGATGCGAGACATGTCCACATCTCTCCTCCTCGCCGCCAGATGGAGGGCGGTGTCACCAGCTGGCGTCGACGCCTGTACGTCAGCGGCCGCCAAATTTACTCTTTAAATCGACTTCCCAATATTTCTGTTTTTTATTTGCCAAGTCAGTCGCATTCCCTTTGTGATTTGACAATAGATCATACACGAAACACTATGAGTTTCAAAGTTACATGTTAAAAGTTAGCTAACCAGAACGAACGAAGCTCCCAAGTGCTATTTAACATTAATTTTAAAAGCCCCTACCATTTCATAATAGTAAAGATGCACCATTATCGCTAATGTTTAAACAACCTCACTAAAAATAATCTGAATATTTTTTTTGCCTCCCGTCTGGGGGCACCGATTTGTCAACCACGTCAATGCCCTTATAGTGTCAGTGTAGACAAATTTGGTCTCCACGGGCTTTCTTGTAAAAAAAAGTGCTGGCCATTTTTCCCGCCACGGTTCCCTGAACGACATCATCCGTAGGGCTCTTGTTTCCATCAATGTTCCACCTATTTTAGAGCCCTGTGACATTTTTCGCGACGACGGTAAGAGACCCGACGGTTTAACATTGTCCCCTGGGAGAGAAGCAAAGCCCTTGTTTGGGACGCCACTTGTGTAGACACTTTGGCTGCCTCTCATCTAAGGGGTACTTCGGTCAGGGCCGGGGCGGCATCGGAGGCAGCTGAAGTAAGTTAATGGCACAAATATGAGTTTTCATGTTTAGGTTATGTATTTGTGCCATTTGCTGTTGAAACTTTAGGTCCGTGGGGTGGTCCCCCGCACATCATTTTTTTTTAAGTTTATGTCCTAGGCTTAACGCCGTGGCTGGTGACAACAGAGCTGGTTCTTTTCCCGCTCAAAGGTTAAGCATAACTCTTCAGCAAGGAAATGCAATAAAAAATCTGAATATTAACATTATATAACAAACATATCGAAATCATTTAAAATATGATAAGCTATAGCCCACGTGAATGCTTATGGTTAAAGTAGGGCAAATGCGGAAAAGACCTTGTTGTTCTAGCAAAAAATTCCCTACCTTCAACTGCTCCGCCGTCTGCGCGCTGAGCAGCTCCCGCACCATGCTCTGATTGCCCGCCTCCACCGCAAGCAGCAACGGGATCTTGCCCCTCTGGAACACCATGTCGCGAATTAGCCTTTTCCATTCCTTCTGCCTCGCGCGCTCCTTATTCAGCTCGATGAAACTGAGCTCTAGCTTCTGCAGATCCCTAGACTGAAGGGCGGGCGGGCTTCGGCTACCGGAGCTCAAGCTCAGGTTCGCACTCCTGGGGGCATCCCTCCTATCCCCATTCATGGTGCGGACGCTACTGATCGTTTCCGCCCCGATTCACACCCCGCACTGAATTCCATTCAATGCGGTGTCTATGCACAAACTACTCACGCCACTTGCGGCATACCACTGCACGGAGCTTCCGAATTGTGAACAGAAATAGTAGCTCTTGACTTATGCGAATAGCAATCTTCAGCAGGCGGCTCAGTGGAATGTGGAAATCGATCGTTTAGCGAGCATCGCACATGCGATGATAAATTTCGATGCACTCTCAAGGAGCTGTATACGTACTTGATCCTCCATTAAGACTACTCTATTCTAAAACAATAGCGACGCGTGCGAACATTGCAAAGCAGCCCTGCCCTAGTCGTGCCGAAGGACCGACTGAGACGGATTCTATTAAAATAACTAATTTTGAATTTCAGCGCCGACGTTATAACTAATATTCCGCCACTGATTTGCATTGTAAATTTCACGTCGTGACGTTTACAAGGCGGTTAAAGCTCGGCGGATAATTAGCTAGTTTCTATTCGCGTGGGTCGTATTGGAGCCGTTGTGCCGGAATGTCCTTATAATATCAACCTTGCGGCCGTTTTACTGAAGGCAACAAACGGCACACCTTTTTAATTTTTGCGTGTGCCGGGCAGCGAGCACAGAGTCGCTCAATTCAGAACTTTGCCGCTTATTTTTTACTAGCCGCCCGTAAAAGCATTGTATGTTTACAGGCGCGTCGAGGTAATTCCCGATTCAGCGGCGGATGGCGGTGCCAGGCGACTGATCGTTGCACGCGATCGCAAAGACCGGTGTTGCATCCCGCCCGTCTATTCTCCAATCAAAAACCTAATATCAACATCGTGACGTTACCATAACATTTTATAGTCATTACTGACGTATAAATAGGTTAAATCTAACAATCGATGCGGTGAATTATTCACAACGATTCCTGTTCTATTCGTTATCTATGGCCCACTGTTAGCTACAACGGTGGCACATTTCCAACGATTTCACGACAACATGCATCTTAATTTCTTTCTCCCTACAAATAGAGGTAGCGTATGCTATTTTTCATTTTATCAACGTTATTAGGACCGAAAAATAGTAAATGTATAATAATTAATTAAAAAACCTCTTAGACTAAGAACGTATGTAAGCCGTAGCCTACATACGTTCCTTAAGCATTCTCAAGGAAGCTCTATTTTACATACCTCTGTGTTTCGCTACAGCGTACTACAACCCTTGACATGAATTCATTAAGCGGACCATGCGACGTAATTAATAACAATATTCATGCTGAGAACAAATAAATAAGGGGAAAAGTTAGCCGTTGTTCTATTTTCAAAGGAAACGTTTGCCGCATTCTGATTGTATGTACAAAGAAGAGTGAAAGAGACAATTAAAATGAACAGCTGACCTTTTCTTTTAAGCGTATGATTTATTATGATGTTCTAAAATTAAAATTATAGGTTTTTCTCGTTCCTTTACTGCTTTATCTTTATATATATAATTCTTCTGTACGTGTGTACGTCACTGAACTCCTCCTGAACGGCTGGACAGATTTTAATGAAATTTTTTGTGTGTCCTCAGGTAGATTCGAAAATCATTTAGATTCACAATTCAGTCCACTACATTTTTTAATTTCTAAGCTGTCGAATTTAAGTCGTGTGTACAGGACAACGTCTGTCCGGTCCGCTAGAATCCATATAAATATTTATCTTATTATATTTCTTTTGGTCTTATAATATTACTAGCTTAATTTTTTAAATACATAATTTGCTCCTAAGCTGATCTCTGTGCAGAAGCCTTTGCATTGGGACTTGCATAAGAGGTAACTTTTTTTCGACGTATGCGCTGCAGTCCTCGGTAACAAAACGTAATAAGGAAGTTTCATGACTTACCCCGTCAACGCGCAGTCGAATGTCCTTTCCAGCAGCGGTCAACAGTGCTCGGAGAATGCTGGTAGCGGTGCCGGTCTGTCTGCTAGCTACCAAATGCACGGCGGTCTGTTGTCTACTCTAAAGTAAAAGGAAATGTTATGACATACACTCTTTCTTTTATGTAAAAAGTTTACTGTAGCAGGGCCACACAACAGTCGCTGTTCCACTAATGGCCAGGTCTGTCCGGGTAAGTACCACGACCTCACAGAAGATGTTTTATACTTCTGCATTTCGTCTTGTGAGTGAGGTGCGAATCGATTTATAATAAGGTGGCAACGTATCTGCAACCCTACGCGTGTTGCAAATGTTAATCGGCGGCCGTTCTCACTTAACATCAGGTACACCCTATGTTAAGTGTAGTGCAGTGAGAAGGTGGCCAACGCGCTACGGGTACACCCCTAGCTCGTTGGCCACCTTCTTACCTAAAAATTAAAAAGTTTACAAGCGAGCAGGTGGTTTACCTGACGTTAAGTGATAAATCTGTAACAGCCGTGACGTTATAGGTGCATTTAAAACCTATGTACAAATCTTTTTGGGGGGTGGTGATATACGAGTACCTTTGGGCACGGAACCCTAAAAACGACCATCATAAACGGCTACGACTCTTTATGGCGCACACATGTTAAATAAGTAAATGTCTTGGCACTCTTTTGTTTTGTACCTGAGTTCGCGTTCCTATTTAAAAAAAAATAACAGCTTTAATAGAAACAAATAAAAATTTTCTATCCCTCTCTCTTGTAATTTATCATTCAAACCATAGTCTATTATATTATTTATCCAACTTATCTTTGTGACTTGCACAATCAAATTCTTTATTCTTCTTAGTTTGTTTTATACGTTGATACTTACGTACTACATCGATCCTCAAAATTTGAAATTGAAAGTGTTTATTTACTTATAATACTATGTCATTAACATATTATGTTCAGATATGGATACCCAGCTTAAAAACGTTGAATGGTGAAAACAAATAAAATACTAATGAATCGTAAGACAGCCGTGACTAAACCAAATAATACAGCGTAAGGTAAAACGAATTTAAGTTGGATTGAATGGCCACTTGACCCAGTTTTGGTGGTAGATTGAGATTACGTAAAGTATGTAAACAAACTTGGCTCGCAAGCAATAATCAATGCCGGTACAAAACATACTGTTCATTATACTTAATTGATTTTATTTTGATTATGAACAACCAATTTAAGAGGAACAATTTGCTCCAAATATATTTCCATCAAAGTACATCCTTATATTGTAGACCAATGCAGTAACAACATTTAATATTTTTGTTTTTAAATATATAAAATTGACCGTCTTTATCTTCGTATAACAAACTTAAAGAAACTTTATGAACGTTAAAAAGGAGTAAAGAAGTGACATTTTTTAATACTAATGATTTGGCAAATGTTGCTGATTGTATAAAAAGTGTCCACTTGATTTAACACAAACACTTTCACTTGAAAAAGAGAGATTCGCATATTGAACAACCGATGTTCTGGGAATCGCAGTATGATGTTGTGACAGCAAGCTAGTCTCTGCGTGCTTTCGAAATTATTACTGATCCACTACTACATCTAATGTCGTTCATTACATTTGTGAAACTATTACATTTGAAATGTGATGTGAATTGCCACACTCTTCTCGGGATTTACTTCTATTTTCCTTTTGCGGAACCAATCACTGAACGAGTCAGCGGTGCTTTGGGGGTGAATAGTTAGTTGATTGAGTTTCTCTGAGAGACTGATCTGATCTCTCTGAATTAAAGAACGTCGTTTCATCCGCGAAAAGCGCGAGATGGACGTGCGGGTTTTTAGGATATCGCTCGGGCAAAGCATAAAAAGCAAAGGGAAGAGGAATATCCTTCGTAAGAGGGTGGCTCAAAATCAAAATCTTTAATTCATCGACATATTTATCCTCTTTTAAATTTATTTTCCTCAAAACATCAAAATATTTAACGTTTTTTTTTTTAGAAATAGCTAGGGAATGATCTATTCATTCCCAGGGGAATGAATGTTTTCATTTATATAACACCATTTTATATAACTACAATAACACATTTTTCACTAATAAATTTCTTAAGCTTGTTAATAGGCAGGCTTTGCGCATTTACGACGATTTTGTTTAAGAAACGTATAACCGCCCCATGATAACTGGCGTTAAAAGCTTGTGTTTGTTTCTAGAATTTATATCATGTACATCAGTATTCTTCCTATATTGATTTCTTGTTTTTAAGCGAATATACATTGTTAAACAAACTTTTTTACGGCTTTTATTCTGCAGACTGTCCCTTGATCATAAACGCTGGAAAGGGCTCGAAACGTCGAAAATTAAATCTAAAAATTGCCATATTGCAGATGAGTTGTCACCTTTTTATAAAGTGGGCTCGGGCTACCTCACTCACCAGACGAAACGCAGAAGTATAACACTTCCACCTTCCACCTGGACAGACCTGCCCAGTCGTGCAAGAGCGAAGACTGTTGCTTGGCCCTACCACCAAGATTTGTGGGTGTGGCCTTCATACCTCAACTTTTAAGGTAGGTCTGCGAAAAGTTCTGCTTACATACAATGGAAGACTTGCAAGATTTAACCTGGATTCTCTTATGCGACGACAACTTAGTGACCTCTTAACATTGAATAAAATAGTTAATCACACCCTTGATTCTGACGTCCTGTGCCTTGATTCAATAAGATGTTCAACTAAATCTAATCGTAGACAGCATCTTTTCCTTATACCGCTTACCCGTAATAATGTATCTCATAACAGTCCCATAATTCGAATGTGTAGACAATATAATATTTTATGTAAAGACAGATATATCGCTCCTCCCACCGAATAATATGGTAATGTGTTATAACGATACTTTGGGTTTTATTGCATATTCGTCATGTAGACATCCTTTTACATCTTGTAAATTTTTTTCACATTTTTCCTGTGAGTAATTTAGAAACTAGCATTTATATAATAACCATATCCTTATTATTCCGTTACAGGTTTAGTATAATTATTTACATGAATAAAATCGCTACTGGTGATTACTACTTGCACTACAAATAAGGTTTTAAATGTTGACTATAACGATATTATTCGAGTAAAAAAGAGCAAACTCGAGTTCTAGTAAAGTATTCTGACAATACTATTCCTGTAGTAATTTTATTTGAAAGATATGGTAATGTCGGTTAACATTTAATTGTATTAAAAAAATACAGTTATGACTTTTGCAAAAGTTTAACGGGGCGTTGTTAACACTCAAATTAAGATTGCTGTATTCTTTATTACCACGAGCCACAAGTAATACGCATCGCTTTCTTTTTTTCTTAAGATAAAGAAAGGGATAGAGCAATACCGAGTACTCGGCACGTGCTGGTTAATCGCCGTGTTTGTTTACTTTAAAACAGTACCAAAAAATATTTAGGTAGTGAAGTGATGCGCTCTCAGTATCAATATTATAATAAGTACTTACTTATATAATTATCGAGTTCTTTTTGTATTTTACATTAATATTGTGTTTAGTGTGATTTTGAATACGATAAAATCACAAAGAATATGAAAAAGACAGTTTTGAAAAAAATAGGCATTCTGGATTTACTGTTTCCTAATACCTCATATACTTACGTACTGCTCCCTCTACTTAAACCTTTTTTTTGCCTTTGAGACATCCACTTTTGCCAACCATGTGAAGAGCCTACTGTTGTAAATAAGATGTTTCGTAAGTTACTGAATTTCTTCGCAATTACAATTAATTTATACTGTCCCTTACTGTACGTGACGATAAAGATGTCGTAATTACTGATCATTCTTCTTCTTCTGTATCTTTTCAGCCCAGACCTTAGCCACTTCGACAGCACGATTTGTTTTCTTTATTTTTTACGTGTGAAAAGTTGCCAAACGAGCAGACGGTTCACCTGATGTTAAGTGAGTACCGCCGCCCATGGACATCTGCTACACCCGAGGGTTTGCAGATGCGTTGACAACCTTTTTGGATATTGGGCTCAAGTATTTGTCACACTTCCACTTTAAGCCGGTCTTCTGTGAGGTCGTGGTACTTACCCGGACGAGCCTGCCCATTCGTGCAACAGCTGAGGCTGCTGCGTGGCCCTACCACTGTGGTTGAAAGTAAGGACGAACTGTAGAACAGGTTTTTTTATAATACATCATTATGCTAGGGTTATAGTGTCGTCGGACTAAACTCCGAGCGGTGGAGAAATATTTCATATTGAATAACTATTGATAATATTTTGACAAAATTTTGTAAACAAATTTTTTGACAGAATTTCAAAATTTTAAGCATCTGATGGATCGTTTCTGGACTCAGTCATGACCGACTACTTCCACTTATAGGTGGAAGGAGCTTGCGAAAACACCAGACACACATACGAAATTATGGAGAGACTTACGTCAGAGGGTCCATGTGGTTCTTATGGAATTTAGAACGCCAATAATCAGTTATCTAAAGTTCTAAGTGTCTGTAGTTTAAAAATGATCCTATAATGGCAATGGCCAATCCTCAATATTTGCTTGCCAACCATCGAATAGAGTCGGCCATACCTATGGACTTTTATTTATTACACATATTGAACACATAAAATATTTATTTTCCAATAAAGTGTCACAAATATTATACATGGACTTTTTCAGGATCAGCTCAATAGTGCCAAATGCACATTATAAAAAAAATACGAATGGAAACCAATTCTTCTAATATCCATGCATATACTTCGACGACTACGATTTCATTTTATTTTTAAATAGGGCAAAAATACTGAGTTCAATACTAAAATACATTTACCCATAAAATACATAAATAACTCACATTTTTAAATTGTATTCGTAGCTAACGGTTATTGAATCAGTCATTGCATTTGATTAGATCATTACTTTGTACAGCTCCTAATGTAACACCTCACGAGAGAATGTTCAGGCATAATTGAAGACAATGAATTAGCCTTTTCAGAATAAATAATTTGATTAGCATCCACGATTCTTTGTCGATTCATCATTGGAATGGTCTTAATTTGCCAACTGATAGTATATCTTTGCTTTCATGAAAGATGATCCTAAAAAAATTACTTTGACATTGAAAAATTCCGCACTTGTCGTATTTCACCGGTGCAATAACATTTTTTCTTGTTATGTCAATAGTCAAAATTGACGACGAATGCTCTGTGTTATATAAAAATTTAAATTCTCTAAACTTACTCCACCCGTAGCGAATGGATCGACTCCGCGTTTTGACAAAAGCAGCTTGACGATATCTTCCCTCGAATACATAGCGGATATATGCAGCACATTGTAGTTGTCCTGAAACAATATTTAATTCATTATCATATACTGATAAAACCGGCCAAGTGCTAGTTGGACTTGCGCACGAAGGGTTCCGTGCCAGTATCTATAAAAGCGGCAATCAAAAATCATCTGTGAAAATTTCAACTGTCTATCTATAACGGTTCAGATACATACATTGAGATACAGCCTGGTATATAGCCTGGACAGACAGGGACGAGTAGTCTTAGTAATAGGATCCCGTTTTACCCTTTGGGTACGGAACCCTAAAAAGCAAAGTAATCTTAGCCTAACTGTGAACACTGTCCACATATTTTTTCATTCGCATATCTCAGAGGTGATCACGACAAAGTGCAATTCCTACGTACAATTGTCGCTTCTAACATTGGTGCCTGATATTTTCCCTTGTCACCGTACATCTGTGACAATCTCACAATCTTTAACGCTGTAGTATTAAAAAAACTGCGCGCAATAGTCAGATATAGTGAAATGCCTCAGAAGGCTTCAGACTAGGTAGTCTAAGACCTTCTAAAAGTACGTTTTACGGCTTGTTATCGCAAATCTTCTGTCCCAAATAGAGTAGATTTCAATAATTAATGAGGGCATTGGTAAAAAAAAAATCTTTAATATCGCTCATACGTAATGTTATATCCCAGGCGTGCTGTTTGTTGATTCACTGAATTGTTATTTGAATAATTGGCTGTCTCTAATTTGTATCAGGAGCTCGCCACCCGTTTAGGGTCTTTCTGAAACCCTTGTATTTAACCTAAGTTTAGATAGATGATTAGAATTCGGCCAACGCTTACGTCATATATGTTAACAATACATGTATAATTAAATCCCATAGTGCATGTTTGTTTATATACAAGAAAAAATTTCCATTCGTATAATCTAACTTCCATCAGCATTACTGCAAATGGCACAACGCGACCCGGCGGGACCTTTAACGAGCGTAAATTGCGAGCGAAAGTTCTTATCGCCCCATCGGCAGTGTAGACAAGAAAATAATAAGTTTCTAAGAATACTGCGTTAGACTTGGAAAAACTATCGAAGGAATTAAATTCGCTCAAAACTGCTACATATTAACATACAGCAAAGCGTTTGGTGTTTGATTTTGTACACAGACACGATGAACGCCAATTGATGTAATTAAATTGAAATTCTATATACTGCTATCTCTTTCGGTACCAAACGTTCTATATCATCTGTCACATTCACTTACATAATATGTAGTATTATAATGTAAAGCGGAACAATTTTTAAATGTCACGCAGTATGTACATGCGTCTTCTTTATTGCAACACAATTGCCCTCAACCACATATAAACTAATACTTCAATCATTTGAATAGATAATTCAAAAATGGCAAACTCACATTGTTTCTTGCTCCGACATCAGAGCCAAGCTCGATGAGACGCTCCACAAAAGAGGTGCGGTTGTCCTTCACCGCATACATTAATGGTGTCATTCCGGTAGTCTGTAAATATAAAAAGTCTCATTAACGTTTTATTATACACAAGCATGCAAGATCTTTGCATGAATGGTTGCATTTTTTTATGGGAGAAGGTGGCTAGCGAGCTGGCCTGGCAGTTCACCTGGTGTAAAGTGATAACCGCCCGAAAGTGAGCCCCGGCTACGTCACCAGACGAAACGCAGAAGTATAACACTCCACTGCACGCCGGTCTTCTGTGAGGTCGTGGTACTTACCCGGATGGACCTGCCCATTCGTGCAACAGCCGAAATTGTTGCGTGGCCCTAGTACAGTTACCATGTCAAAAATTAACATTTTTTTAATGTTAATTTTTGAGTGATATTTTAAGGATATAAAAAAGAAAGTTTGAATATAAAAATGATAACGGTACGGCAATATATTTTCAAATCAAACAAATTATTGGTTTCAATATAAAAATACAAAGTTTATAAGTTCCGCCACGTACTCGTAAATATAAAGAAGGATCATAACGATTTTCGAATTGAACTCGGATACAGGCTTAATACTGTTTTATTGCAAATTCGGTTCCTTACGTGCATTACGTGTACTTTGTACGAGTAGTAAATTATTTATGACGACAACGTGACATCAACATCGTTAATAAATCGTTTTAAGTACATGTAAAATATATATATATATATATTATATATATATATTTTAATTTTTGATATGGTTAATTAGGCATTCCAATGTTTAAATACAACTAATATGCTCTTGTTTAGGATACTTACTAGATCGATTTAACTTATTTACCATTTTTCCCGCATAGATTTTGTTACACTTAAATTAACACTAATTGGTTAAGGTCGTTGCTTAACCCAATCCTTATTTCCTTCTAACTATGAATTATTACAAATTTATCAAACTTAAATCTATCTAAAATCTTATCCTTTAAACGAGCAATTCTTGTATGTATATATATATATATATATATATAATCGGAATCTCGGAAACGGCTCCAGAGATTTTCATAAAATTTAGTATGTGCGTAGATTCGGGGGCGAAATATCGATCTGGCTAGGTTTCATTTTAAGAAAATGTCCTTTTATCCCTGTTTTCAGGGAATGAAAAATAACCTTCAAATATGACAGTAAATTAAGCCGCAAAAAAATGTTATAATAGCTCGGTCGGTAATCGGGCGGCCCCAAAACAGACGGCCGCGGTTCGTATCATGATCATTTACACTTATTTTTTTTACTTTTTTTTCTATACCAGATCATTTTCTTTATTTTTATATCATATCATTTCACATTTGCCAGGTACTTACATATTATCTAATAAACCTTAACCTATAGATTTAATCTTGTAAATATTAGATCAATAAAGATTTTACATGTTTAATAAAAATAAAATATATCAAAGGAAGGTACCGATCGAAAGAAAGAATCTTTCGATAATCGAAGAACGGTATCGTCTTGCCAATGCAAAAATTTAAAAAAAAAGTAGTCATTGGGACTACCGTCACAAATGATATCGTAAAACTGGAATAAGTGTTTTTTTTTATAAATGAATCATAGAATGAATAATTTAAACCACGAAACACTAATTTAAATTGCCTCCAGACCTTTTTCATTATGACAATTTAAAAGAATAAACCACAATTTTATGTTACAATTTTTTTATAGAATTTTTACAATTATTACATTTATCTATTGATTAAAAATATCTGTAATAATTCCTAATGGCAGTGCCTTAGTTGGAAAGGATACCTTAACCCCAAATGATAATCTGTTTGAACTGTTAATTTCCATGTTGATTAGTATGCTGTCTCGTTTCAGTGACGTTGATCTTCCACTTAATTTAAAACAAAAAACTTACTCAGCTGATTTCATTCACTAATAACCTTCCCTCCGATACTACAATGGAACTGTCGGAGCATTAGAAATAAAAAACATGAACTTCTTCATCTCATTAATAAATTTAATCCCTCTATTCTAGCTATCCAAGAAACTTGGCTCAAGCCAGGATCCCATTTCCGAGTCTGTGGGTATTCATGCCTAAGAGATGACAGAAATGATGGTCATGCAGGCAGTGCTATTTTTATTTCAAGGAAAGTACCCTTCTCTTCTATTTCCTTCCCCTCCCACTCCTCTTCTATAAATATAGTAGGAGTAAAAGCTTTTAATACTTCAATTTTATCTATTTATATCCCTTCACCTAATGCTTCAGTTATTTCAGAGCTATACTCTATTCTGTCGTCTCTCACACCACCTATTGTTATATTGGGGGACTTCAATATCCACCATACTATGTGGGGTTCTCAGTATTCTGATGCACTTTCCCTCATATTCTTAGAACTACTTGATAATTTAAATCTTTGTTTTCTAAATGATGGCTCTCCAACCCGTCGAACATCCCAATTCAAAATACAAAAAGTGCTGTGGATTTGTCACTTTGCTCACCAGATCTTCGTTCTCTTCTTTCATGGCATATACTCCCTTCTACGCATGGTAGTGATCATTTCCCAATTTTTGTTACATTTCCTAATTCTTCTCTATTTGTAAACAATCAATTTAGACCTCGTCAAAAATATAACTTATCCAAAGCTAACTGGTCACTATACTCATCAATTTTAGATAGTCAAATTTTAGATTTACCCCCAATTAATAAAGATAATGTCCTTTCAGTTTATAAAGAGTTTCGAAATCTACTTTTATCTGTAGCTGACAGAGTCTTTCCACTCAAAACTCCTTTTAAAAATAACATTCCATCTCCCCCTTGGTGGGATCATGACTGCACACACAGCATGCAAAAAAAGAGAAAAGAGGCTGAACGTAGATACTCACAGTCAATGACCACAGAGAATTACATTTTTTATAAAAAAACTGCAGCAGAGACTATGAAATTGTTATCCCAAAAGAAACAAGCTGGCTGGCTCAGGTTTTGTACATCCATGTCTCCCAATACTCCTCCATCACTTGTATGGAAAAATATTAAAAGGTTTCGATGTGCAATGGTTAGTGTAGACCCTACTTTTAATGATCATTCTGTTTGGATTGGAGACTTTTTGAATAAACTTGCTCCACCATCAGCCCCAAACTATGATGAATGTCTATTTTTTGACTCTCCCTCACAGCAAACCGGCTGATAAATTTAATTCCCCATTTTCTCTCCACAAGAACTTTTCTGTGTTCTTAGTGGTCTTAAAGATTCTTCACCAGGAATTGACGGAATCCCCTATTCCTTTATAATTAATAGTAGTGAAAGAACAAAACTGATTTTACTTAAATTTTTGAATAATATATTCATTACTGGCATCCCACCCGATGAATGGAAGTCGCAAATCATTATTCCTGTCCCTAAGCCTGGTAAGGCTGGTAATGATGCATCTGGATTTCGACCCATAGCTCTCTCGTGTACAATTGCCAAAGTTCTTGAGCATTTAATAAAAAATCGCCTAGAGTGGTTTTTGGAAAGCCAAAATTATCTACCAAAGAGCCAATTTGGATTCCGAAAAGGTTTGAGCACAATGGATAGCCTAAGCACGCTTGTCACAGATATCCGAATTGCCTATTCAAAGCAACAATACCTTGTAGGGGTATTTCTAGATGTTTCTTCAGCATATGATAATGTTCTTCTTCCTGTGCTCAGACAGAAAATGTTACAGCTGAGCATACCAGTGAAGATTGTTAACTTTATTTTTAACTACCTTTCCTCCAGGTCAATTTTAGTAAATGTTCAAAACTCACTCATTCCATCAAGAACTGTCTGGAAAGGCCTACCTCAGGGCTCTGTCCTTAGTCCTCTCCTCTATAATATATATACTTTTGATCTAGAGCTTTCTGTCAATTCATTTTGTAATGTTCTTCAGTATGCAGATGACCTAGCCTTGTACATTTCCCTAGATAACATCTCTACAGCTTGCTCACGTCTAAATTCCGCTTTGTACTATTTGCAAGATTGGTTAACTGAACATGGCTTATCCCTCTCCCCCTCCAAAAGTAATGTCGTAGTTTTCTCTCGGCGTAAAAATGTGCCAAATATTATAATAACTTATGATAACCAGCATATTCCCATAAGTGATTCAGTTAAATTTTTAGGTGTTTTTCTTGACACCAAATTATCATTTGTTACTCACATTGATTATATCTCCCAAAAATGTGAGAAAAATTTGAACATTATTCGGTCCCTTTCTGGCGTATGGTGGGGCGCTCATCCATTCTCTCAAAAATTAGTTTACAACTCACTAATTCGTAGCCACATCGATTATGGATGCTTTCTTTTTGAGCCATGTAGTAAAGCATCACTTAACGTGTTAGACAAAATTCAATATAAAAGCCTGCGTATCATTATGGGTGCAATGAAGTCCTCACCTAATAATGCCCTTCAGGTGGAGTGTGTTGATCCTCCTTTTCACTTAAGAAGGCAGTATCTTTCAGATAGATTCTTTTTCAAGACCTGTCAACTCTCAGTTCACCCCTTAATTCCTAGGCTTCACCAACTATCTGAATATGTCTCTTCAAGCAACTATTGGGTCCACAAGAATCCTCCATGTCTGTTTAAGAGTTTGGTCACTTTTCTCCGTTTCCCCTCTCCTATTTTTCAATGTAAGACTAACCCATTATTTGATATTCCTTATGATGCATTAATTTTTAAACCTGACATCCATCTTGACCTGGGCATTGAGAAAGATTGTCCGATGGCAGATTTTAACTTGAGTTTGGCCATTAAAAGATACTGGAAGGATTGGCTAATAATGTATACAGATGCTTCCAAATTCAGTGAATTGGGTTACTCTGGAGCAGCAGTTTGGATCCCAAAGTATAAAATAGCCCTTAATTTTAAATGTCCTTCCCCTACATCTATATTTACTGCAGAGGCTACTGCTATATATGAAGCACTATTGTATATTGAGTCACACAACCTAGACAGATCAATAATATTTACAGACTCTAAAAGTTGCCTACTAGCTATTTTGTATAATCAATTTCGTGTTAAGTGTAAAATCCCTCTAGTTCTTAATA